AATGAAGCTGGTCATATTTAAGAACAAATCATTTTGTGACAAATGAACAGACAAACATTTGACAAAGTAAAAGGAACCAAATGATTTCTGGTTTTTTTCCTTCCTTTTCTTTTCCTTTTTTTTGAATAAATGATGAAATGCTTTCTTTACTCAGGGCTGTGAGCTTGGTTTTCTATATTAATTGTGAAGACCCTTTACTGTATTTCCTTGAATGCTCTTCCATACAGCTTCCACCTTTGCCTCTTAACACTATCCTTTCTAGCTCCAGTTTAAAGCACTGACTTTTGCTTGTTCCCTTTGATGTAAAGAACTAGTCAGTAGTCCAATGGAATCATCCTTTTTCTTTTCTTTTGCCTTTTTTTTTTCTGAGCTCTAAGAACTTTAGGTGCTGTTTATAGTTTTTCTTACTGTCCTCAGCTTTAAGAAGAATATATATATTTAACACTGCATTCTTCCATACGTAACAATATACAGTGTACTGAAACATATCCTCTACAAGGTTGACTAATTCTGCTTTCCATTCTCTTTCATACCACAATAACTAAATATTCAATGTTTTTATCTTGTCCAAAGGAACTTTGAGAGTATTCATTTGAACAATCAGATTTTGTTATTGTTGTGAACCCAGTCACAACAGCAGCTTACACTCTTCAGGGAACACTCTTAAAAATCACCTTCTATAAAGTAAGGGCAGAGCTTCTTCTGTTATTGCTATTTTGTTTCTCTGTTCCTTGGCACTTTTTTTTGATTTTCATTTTCTCTCTTTAGGTTTTTACTTTCCCCAAAGATTATGAAGCTGCATGGAAAGCTTAACTTTCCCATGCATAAATAAATAATATATGAAAATGGTATTTATAATAATATATTATATAAAAATATACATTTATATATAATATATAAAATATATTGTATATATATATAATTTATTTATATTCCCATATAGAAAGTATATCCAGGTGAAGTCACTATAAATAAATGAGTGCCTGGGAAGCTCAATGTATATCAAATCCCCTAAGAAGAAGATTGCTACCCAAAGATTTATGCTGAAACTCCTATTTAAAAAAAAGTCTCCTTCCAATTAGAAAACAAAATTACTTGATGATATTACCTTTTATTTATATCTATATTTTCTTATTTTTTACTTAAAAATCATACATATAGAATTGAAGTAAATAATACTCATGGAGATCTTGGGCAAGGAATAATGAACTACCAGAATGAAATACATTCAGTAATGTCCTATCTGTTGATTACTGTTGTATAAACATGATATAGCTATAGTTTCATTAAATGCATATTATACTGAGATCCCTATTCATTTGCTCGGGCACCACAAAGTCCATACGAACCAATCCCTACTCTGAAGTTTATAATCTAGTGAAGAAGCACATTAAAATGAGAAATAGAGAATATAGAAATAAAAAGCATGCTAATTGGATGTAGAGAATAAATATAAAAATCACTAGAAAGAGATTTGGGGTTGAAGAATAGTTAAAGAGGTTGGGACATGTGGAAGATGTTGAGAATGGAAGTTATGGATAAGCAGAGACTGGCAGAGAGGCCTGAGGTAGTAAAACTAATGTGAAATGAGTGTAGTGGTTAAGGGTTGAGGAGATAAAGAGGTTTCCAGTTTGCATAAAGAATTAGTAATGAAGAAAAGTAGAAAATTGTTACATTATTAAAAGTGTGATCAAAGAGTGGGTGATCTTAAAATGTACTTGAAGGGATAGCTATAAAGGAACAAACTATAAAAACTAATGGTGATCATATTGAAGGAACATTTAAAAAGTAGGTGTGCACAAGACAGACTGACAGAGAGTAACTTCAGGCGGGAAGATCAGGTATGGGGAAAACGACGTTAATTTAGAAGTGAAGGTAGTCTAGATCATGTAGGTATAGAGAGAGAAGTTAAAAGGCCAGCAGTCAATAACAGAGAAAAGCAAGATTTGGGGGGCTCAATCAATGTGGATGCCCTCCCACAGCCTTCCATGGCAGGTGCAGAACCTCTGTGTGAAGCACTCTCAACCACATGTCCACTCTGAAAACTTAGAATGTAAGCGCCAAGAAACTAAGGTCTAGCCTGTAGTTTGTGTGTGTGTGTGTGTGTGTGTGTGTGTGTGTGTGTGTGTTTTAACTGCTACACTGCCAGTGCCTAAAACAGAGCCTCACAACATGAGTTTAATAAATATTTCTTGAATATTTACTATTTAAAAATATATCTTAAAGTCCACCTTTCTTTTGAAGCTTTCCCTACCTCTTTCAGTTAGTAAAACTTAAGGTGGAAGACATAGGTTTCTGGAATCAAGTAGACCTGTATTCAACTACTGAATACTTAACTTTTCTGATTTTCAGTTTTGTTTTTTTTTTTTTTTTTTTTTCAGTACACAGGCCTCTCACTGTTGTGGCCTCTCCTGCTGCGAAGCACAGGCTCCGGACGCGCAGGCTCAGCGGCCATGGCCCACGGGCCCAGCCGCTCCGCAGCATGTGGGATCTTCCCAGACCGGGGCACGAACCCGCGTCCCTTGTATCGGCAGGCGGACTCTCAACCACTGCGCCACCAGGGAAGCCCTGATTTTCAGTTTTCACATTTGTAAAACAGAGAATACTATTCATCTTGCAGTGTTATTATAAGGCTTAGAGATTATCAATGTAAAGTGCCTAGCTTACATTCAGGTACATATTAGTTACCCAATCCACGTAGCTATTAACCAGGAGCAGGTGTCACTCAATCATCCTCTTTTCCCTTTGATCAAATCTTGTATATTTCTGATTTATAACATTTATCACTTTGCACTAGAGTTAATATGTCTATCTTCTCTCCCGCAGTACATCAACATTTTAGTACGTCAAATACCAATCTTTTTAATGTGCCTAAGAAGTGTCTCTCAAAATTCAGCATAAGCTTTTTCTCAGTCAAGTTGTTTTGACCTACTCAACTGGACTTCAGTTCTTTCTCTTCATGTCGTTTCCTCCTGTATCTTAAAAGTACTTAGGTTTATGTTTGTCTTCACTCCTGGAGTATGAGCTCCATAAAGACTGGGGTGTTACTTTCTATTCATACATCCTGGGGACCTGGTAAACTACCCTGGGCATACATACTCATTATATGAAAGAGGAGATGAGTACAAAAATTATACAGAAGATATCTTCTACAGAACCTATTCTCAGAAAGAGAGGAGGGGTTAGTGAAACAAAGAAATTAAATGCAGACAGAGTTTAGGAACTCTGTCCTGCAGAGAGTTTTGATTAAGGAATCCAAGGTGCCATGAGAGTTTAGAGAAGCAGGCCTTACTCATGTTTCTTTATACACTTGCTTTGACATTGAAAATAGTGGCCACTGTATTTTATTTGAGAATTGGTCTGTGTGCTTGTTACTCATTCCTGATTCCAAGAACCAGCCATCACAGGATCTTTTTTTGTCCATCAGAGCACTCACTAATCTCCCACAATGTGCAGAGCAAAAAGTTGGTAAAAATGATCATTAGACATGAAGATACTGGTCTCTTCTGAGATTGGCAATCTAATTAGACAGACAAGAAGAATGAAATGAATGTACCCAGAGTCAATTTCATATCTTATTCTCAGATAAAGTTGACACCACTTTGGTGATATCAGCATATCAAGGTGCAAAGCTTGGATGTGGAAATTCTGCCAAAACAGTGAAAAAAAAATCTTTCAGTTGTCATTTGGTATCTTGTAGAATAAACAAATTAATGCATTTTGTGTTCATTTCAACTAGTTGCTGTGGGCTTAGCCACAATGAGTATGAGTATATGTGTATATCTATATATATGTATATATATAGATATACACATATATATATAGTAAGCCTTTTTTCTTTACTCCTTGAATTTAAACTTATTAATCTACTTAAATTAAAGGGGAGATATCTAACTAAGCACTGCAGGGCATTTATAAAATTCAAAAATCTATTCATGTGTTTGAAGAAAAGCATTGATTTTTTTCCAGGAAATTATGATGCTCTTGTGCATATTATATTAAATCCAAATCTTAATTTCCAATATAGGAAATAAAGTACTTTGCCTATTAAAAATTATGTAATATATATATTTTCAAAGTATGGCCTCTGGTAGATAGGATAAGTAGGGCAATATTTCAATATTTATTGATACATGTCTAATGAAAAAGAGAGCACATTATTTTATTTTTAAATGGATGATATTGGTAAAATGTAGCTATTTTAGTGCCCTAATACCAACATAAATCTTACAGTTTTCATTAATCTTTAAGATTGGTTTATAAACATTGAGGGGAAAATATTTTTCAGTATTACATTACATTCACTTTTTAGTATATATAATTTATTTTGATACACTGTTTTTTAGTGTTATTGTTGGAGAACTCAACGTCACTGAAAAGCACATTTAGCAAAATGTAAAATTAGTTTTAGCTTGTAACCTTTTAAAAAACAATGTAAATTAGATAGCTATAAATGCGTGCCTAAAGAAAACAACAAAATGTATATGTAAAATCAAAGTGATGGTCTCATAGAGGAGATTTAACGTAAATGGCTACCAGTAGACCCTGAACAAAATGATCAATACTCCTCTTAAAAAAAAATGCTTTAACTGTCTAGTGAAATTATAAGGATCTCATAAAGATGTGCAAACCAAAGATAGAGTAGCTGCAGTACGCCTGGAAGTGGCTAAGCTCCCAAGCAAATCATCTCTATTAGTTCCTATTCATGATTTAAATTATGCTTTTTTATCTGTTCATAACATGCAGCACTTTTTAGCCTCACATTTCTAGGCATTTTAGCTTTTGCTGACATAAATGCATTCCCAAAATAGAATGTTACAACAATTTTCTGCTAGACATTTAAGCCCATTTGTGCATTTTATTTTAAGATACTTTTTTTGAAACTTCTAACTGTGAGAGGTCTGGGAAGGTGGTGTTAGAATGAATGAGAACTTGTTTTCTAAAGCGACACTGTAGACACTTGATCTACCGTTAAAAAAAAAAAAATCACAGCTTCCTACCTTGAAAACAAACATCTCACGGCGAAGAATAGCTAGAGTGTTAAAGTTCCCATCACAGATGTTGGGTTTGGCTCCAGGATAGGAAGGTCTGCCAGTGGGAGGCCGGGGAGGTTTGGGCCGGTCATTCTTCCTTGGGTCAGCTGGAGGATTAGAGCGGTGTGGGGGCACTGTCGGTAGAGGTCTTGTTGGTGGAGGAATCTTGTCAGGTGGACCTTTTGAAAATATGAGGACAGCACTTGGCTCACTTAAAACTGGAATAGTGTTGGAAAATATGCTACATAGGACAATCACTTATCAGTGGAGGGTTCAGACTAAGCAAGTTAAGAGGTATTTAAGATTGTATACTTCCTGAAAAAACAAACTATCTTACCCAACAAACCATTGCTAAGTCTATCGGAAACTGTCTTTATTGTGCTGAATTCTGGATCCAAGTAACTAGGACTTCTTTGTTAATTTTTAATGATTTTTAAAATAGCTTCACCACAGCCCTTATTGGAAAGTCTGCTTTCAAATAATTTTTTGGAAGTAGGTAGTGTATTAATTATAAATAAATTAAAATGAATACTGGAACCATGCATGTAAGCTCCACCAAAGTTAATCCTAGATTTTGATAGACGATTCTACGCAAATATTTCTAATATTGTTAATAGCTCATTAACAAATCAAAGTTTATTCTATCCCTATGTATCTAACTGTATTTTATCAACTTTTCCTGACTTTCATTTTTTTCTTCTAATGAAATGTTTTCACAGATTGCTAGAAGAGTGTTTCATTTGAATACTGAATCTAAAACACCTATTGATTAAAACACCACTAATAAAATATTAATGTAAAGAAGTATTTCTACAAAGAGGTTTCTAAATCAAGCCAAAGTTTATAGATGTAATTTGGTACAGATGTAAAGCACCATTTCTCAAGGGATTTATGTTTTTAAAAAGAAATACAGAGCTGTTCACACTTATTATTTAGATATGGAAAGAATACTCTTTTGCAGACCTTCAGTCTAGACTACTAATTCATGAGGTCATGAGAAAGAGCCTCCTTTCAGTTAACTACTTTGGCAGAATTTCTGATGACACACACATAGGCATTGGCTAGCTCATTCAACATATGAGCTATTTAGTTTTGAGTCCCGGACATTTCTCTTTTCTCAGTATCCCCCAAATAAAGAGCAGCACAAAAGTTGACCTTTTTTTCCAAAACTAATGTTAACCTTGAGAGAATGGTCACCACTGAGACATTGAACTTGAAAAATTCATGAATGCAAAACAGATTAGTGAACTTAAACTGTGATATTTAAAAATGCAAATGACATCTTCTGAGTACTGAATATTACAGACAGCACACATTTGTTTTTGCATTGTAAAATGAAAGCTTCACTTCATTAATTTAGTAAAGCATATTCTCTATATGTTAATAATAAATGTCAAGTTCTTAACAATTTTGTGTGGAATAAATGTCTTTATAAAGGTCAATTGTCCTATTGAGGGAGTTAGGATTATAGTAAATATGTGTAATAGTGTTTCTTCCTTTTGTCTTACCTTGCATTCATTGACTGAACCCCATAAATTAAAATTATTTTACTCTACTAGAAACTTATTGTGAATTATGTGTTAGTAAACGTAGCCATTTGTTACCTTTTACCTCTTAGTCAATAATTACATGTTTTTGAGTTCATTTTGTTACATCCATCACACAAGAGTATTTTCAGCATTTTCCAAAGTGATTTGTCTAGCATCTATCAACCATCAAATATCATAAACTGAGAATCAATCTGTCAGCTTCTACCAAAGTTTCAGTATCTTATATGAAAGCCTTCTATGACTCATTGTTTTTATTGGTTATATTCATTTATTATATTTTTACCAGAATTTTAAATACTAAAGCTTAACTGACCTTTATTATAATTTCAGGTTTCAATTAAACTCAGTAAGAAAAGTTTATCAGTGCCTAGACTTTCCCATTATCTGCATATTAAGATATCTGGGATTGTTGCCAACAAAACTTGATTGATAGAAGACTTTTGTCAATAGACCAGATTTTTTTTTTCAGTATTTATCTCTCTAATATACTTAGAGCATCTATCTCAACAAAGAAAACAGAGCAGAAATTCTGCACTTCACTATAGGATTAACCAAATAGAATCAGTGGTAACCTACCATATATTTTCTGGATGCCCTGCAAATCATCATTAGGTAGTTTGAAGTTGTCAGTTTCCATGTACTGGTAAAATGGAGCCATGATGGCAGTAGGGTCATTGGAATGCTCCAGTCCCAGAGCATGTCCCAGTTCATGAACCGCTACAAGAAATAAGTCATTTCCTGTGCAAATGAGAAGAAAAGACACTATTATAACTAATATCCAAGTATAGAATTGACAAGGACAATTGGTGTTATCAAAATTTTACCCAAGAAAAATAAGGGGAACTTTTTATTTCAACTATCAGTGTGATTTTATCATTGGATTATCTATGGGCAAAATCCAATATGTGATTTTAAAAAGTGGGGTTGGTGGTGGGGAGGTGATGATAGTGAAGTCACAGAAATTTAGAAACTGAAAGAGAAGAATAAAGAATAAAAGTTGAAGAAAGAACATTAGCATCAGAAATTGCTACTACTGCTGTTGAAATATTCTTCCAATTAGAAAGCATGTAATACACTATATCTCACTTATGTAACCTTCATAGTGAACATAATTCTAAGAATTCAGCAAAAAATATAGGGTAGTTACAATACCTACTTTTACACAGATGAGTAAATTATGGCATAGAAGGGACAAATCTTGTCAAGAATAGCAAATCTTTGTATTTACAGAGCTGTGACAAGAACTTAGGTTATTATAACTCCTAGACTAAGGCTTCTCTTTCTTAGTAGCCTATAATAATGTAAAATAAAAGTCATAGGCTAGCAGTCATGAAAACTAGGAATCTAGTCTTAGCTCTGTAAATACAAATTCTAATCAATTCATACATAATCTGAACAAAACGTATTTATCTTAGAGGGTCTGTTTCTCACTGAAAATAAAAAAAAAATCTCTTCCACTAGTAGTAAACGTGCACAGTAAATCTATTTAGTGCAAACTCTCAGAGATACTTTGTCTGACTTTGTTCAGTCAAACCCCTGCTAATGGCCTCTACATGTTGTCCACTCCTGGATCATCATAACTCAGCTCCTGAGGAAAAGAGCCAGTCCTCCATGTATATTTGTAAATTCCAAAAATTTAGTCGAACCACATGAGCATCAATGAGTTGGGGCTGTTATTCTTCTGTGGTGACAGATACAAAGAGAAGAAAGAGCCTAAAATTAAAACTCATGATCCCAAAATGTCAAATATAAGAGATTATTATTACCTTAAGAATGCATTTAAAGGAATTAAAGAACATGACTTAAGGACAAAACAGGGAGTGAAATTATAGGGTGCGTATAGGGAAAAATGTATAGTGGGAGAAAGGACAACTTCCGGTAACTGTCTTTGCTTAAATTTTTGTTATTTTTCTACTGCCTGCAAGATAGTTCCACATTCTGCATTGTTGGGAAATGCACAACAAGTTTGTTTTTAGAGGAGGAATTATAATGATTTGAGGAAGTAAGGACAGAGAGTGGAATTTCACAACGTCAGACAGTGGAGAATAAAAAGGCACAGGAGTTCAGAGATACTGGAGAACAGGATTTTTTTTAAGATGCCACTTTGAGTTAAAAAAAACAAACAATGAAACATGCTATCAGGGATCATCTAGTGAGCATGTGCTAGTCACAGGCAGAGATAAATAACAGAAGGAAGGAGGGAGTCATTTAATAAGAGATGTAGGAACTGTGAGACTGTTTGTGAGTACGTAAAATAGGGAAAAGACTTCAGGTTGTCTCTCATAGGATACTCACAGGTGAGAGGAAGGTAGGGAGAAGATGAGTCACAGGCATTTTTATATGTCAGACATCTAACACCAACTCTGGAATGAGCACCTCTGTGATTTCATATCAGAGACATCTTTGTTAAGGTACAAATTTGATATAGATGAGACACTGCAACTGCAAATAAGGTGCAAAGTGGTAGGACACATATATGCTCAGCTTCTGGGCATACTCACACCCAGAAAATACATGTAAAATTTGGCTGGAATATGCCATCAGTGGGCTAAAAGTGAAATAATTATTTTTATCAAAAACCGACCTAGGGCTTCCCTGGTGGCGCGGTGGTTGAGAATCCGCCTGTCGATGCAGGGGACACAGTTTCGTGCCCCGGTCCGGGAAGATCCCACATGCCGCGGAGCGGCTGGGCCCATGAGCCATAGCCACTGAGCCTGCGTGTCCGGAGCCTGTGCTCCGCAACGGGAGAGGCCACGACAGTGAGAGGCCCGCGTACCGCAAAAACAAAACAAAACAAAACAAAAAAAACAGACCTAATTACAAAACAACGATCCATCAAGCAGCCAAAGGACCAACGAGAAACAAGGCAGTGGAACCAAGAGCAGAAAACTCAAGGGTTGGCATTCAAGGTTCCCAGGAAGCTCTGGTGACAGCTAAGCTCAGCAAGACCATAGCGCTGGTTTGGAAAATACCTCTAGACTCTCCTGGCCTTCTTTTATCAAAACAGATACAACTTCTTTGTCAGAAAGTCCCAATGTGGCTTTACAGGGATTATGCCTTGTCTTTATTCTTCAAAAGGAAAAGAATCCAATCTTCATAATTTCCTCCTGTGTATCACGTCCCCTTCCCTAGGAAAAATGTATCCTGAACTTTGTTTGTAGATAAACTTGTAGGAACTCATTCTCTCACTCTTGGTCAGATAAATATCACCGTTAATTATCCATCAACATTTTGGACCTTGTTGAATTAACAAGCATTTCAAATCTCTCACAGGAAAATAGTGCTTTAGTCACTTTTTTTTTTTTTTTTTTTGGCTAGTAAGAGAAATGAAAAAAAATAAAAAGTAAATCAAAATGATAACAGCAAAAGTCATTACATTTCATGTTCACTTCAGATCAGTCAAGTTTTTCTAAGCATCTTTTCCAAGGGTGGAGTGATTCCTCATCTAAGGAATAAAGTAAAGCTTTAGAAGAAAATTAATAGGCTCAGGACATGAACCTATGGCCTACTGAGTTTGCCATAGCACTTTTAATCAGAAATACTGGCCAAAAGCTCTAAGAAATTACCATTCTTCAGATGATTGGCAATAATATAATTAAACCATACTTGCAGCTTCACAATAGTTTAAAAGGGTAAGTTGTTAAATGAAGTACCACCCTGTGATTTGAATGCCACTCGGAACAAAAGTTGTTGGCACATGATGAGTTTTAGACAATTAAAATCCACCAGCCCTCTTTCCTAATGGTGAAAATAATAACTGCTCCTGTAACTTATCATTAATTCACATGATTCAAGATTCTCAATTGTAATATGCCTTGATCTTATCATCATGCAGGCAATAAAGGACAAATCAGCTTCCTGGTTCTTAATACAGAAATAGTACTTGCTTCTTTTGCAAGATTCTGAGTTTTGAGTTTGTTGCTTTCAATTGAATCTCTAATCTTCTTTCCTTTGTATACTCCAATATAATTTCAGGATACTGAACTGTATATTATGAAATATAATGCATTATTTATAATTTCCTTGTCATAATTATGTCTCTATATTTTATTCTAAGCTCGTTCACCCCTCCATGCATCTTCATATGCTGTCCCCTCTGCTGACAAAATACACTGAATATCAAAAATGACTATACAATATTTCATATGTAAAAATTGTCATACATGATTCTGACATCTATAATCCTATAAACATATTCAAACACTAGCACCATTGAATCTATCTCTGGTTTCTCCCTTACTTGTGGCTGTCCCAGTCCCTCCAGAGGCAATCACTAACCTGAGTTTGAATTTCTCAATTCCTTACTTATATTTAATCAAATATGTGTGTTTAAATAAATTATAGCTTTAAAAATATAATATCATTCTGTATGTTATCTTCTGAAACTTGCTGAAACTCTGCATTTGTTTTTCTCATGTTTATCTTCTTGTTTACCTCTTTGTCAGTCTTACAAAATCTTATTAACCTTTTAAAACAAAACTCAGAAACACCTCTTCTGTGAATCCTTCTCCAACTCCCCAGGTAAATTTAGTTCCTCTGTCTCTGTGTATCCTTGGCTTTTTGTACATAACTTGATCGTAACACATATCATAATTGCCCTGACAGCTTCTGATGCATAGAAACTCTTAATTTTTACTTGTAGGTTAAATGATTGAGAACAAATTTGAGAAAATTCATAATTTCAAATACTTAAATACGTAAATTTAAAATACTTAAATCCATGTCTAGAAATAAAATTCAGAAATCATCATAAAATCTTTGATTAGTGGTAGTTACCTCAGTTCCTTCTAAATAGGATGGGCCTAAATAGGATAGGCCTCTTAAACCTCTGTCCTCTCACACTATCCACACATTGGTTTTGCTAGTTGAGAAGTTAAAGAAATATATGGGATCAGCCTCCAAGGTGGCTCAAATAATTCCCACCTCCTGGTATTTCATTGTATCTGCTTGCTAGAGCAGAATACTACAGAAGTGAAGGTACCTGATTTCCAACGTTAGGTCATAATATACATCATGACTTCCTTGTTGGTTATTTCTCTCTCTCTCTCATTACTCACTCTGGAGAATCCAGCTCCCATGTTGTAAAAATAGCCCTATATAGAGGGGAGAGGCACATGTGGAAAACTGAGGCCTCCTGCCAACAGCTGTATGAGTGAGCTTAGAAGTAGATTCTCCAGCCCTTTCAAATAATTGCAGCTCCAGCCAATAATTTCACTGCACATTCATGATGTACCTTGAGTCAAAACCACCCAGCTAAGCGCTCCTGGATTCTTGACCCTCAGAACTGTGTGAGATAGTAAATGTTTGTTGTTTTAAGTTGCGGGGTGAATTTTTTATGCAGCAACAGATAAGTAATATGGGACGTTTTAGCACTCTAATTCCTCACCATTTGGTTAGGATTAGGAAACAGGAAAGAAAAGCTGAAAAAAGAAAAGAACTGAGTAGAAAAAGAAGCTACTCTGAAGCATCTGAGTATTTGTACAATAATCCTGAGATAAAAAATTGTATTAAATATTGTCCAGTCCAATTATCTCTACATAAACTGAAAGGTTTGGCAAAAATTCTAAGTCTGAGGGAAAGTCTGTGACTAAAAACTTCCAAAGATAAAAATATCAGCTATTTTCCTGTCTCATATGTTCTTTCAAATGTGTAAAACCTTGTACCTTGGTTGCACCTTTATTTCTATTCTCTTTGCACTTTATTGAAGAAAGGGTCTCTTTCTTGGTGAACAGTAAAAC